TCAGTTTTATCTCTCTGGGTTATGAAGAATACGAATTTGGGGGGGGGGGGGGGGAAGAAACAAATAAGAAGTGTTTCAGGCGGGAAAATAAAAATAGACCGATCTCTCTTTGTCACACACTCACACATACAAACGCACGTTTTATCCCTTTTCCCATCTTCGTGAAATTTAATTTGAAAAAAAAAAAAAAAAAAAGAAACAATCAAATAATCAGGTCAAGTCAATTCCCGTCAAATCAAATCCGATGTGGGAAAACAGGGAGCAGTAGGCGTTGGGAGAAGGAGAAGAAAATGTCCAGCTGATGGACTGGATGGATGGATGGGAGTTCTAACTCCTGACGTAGACGCTTCCTGTTTTCGACCGCAGGACCGCATTCTCGTCTAGAGACTGAGCGTGATGGGGATGCATCCAAGGGAGACAAGGCCGTTCTGTTTCCGAGTGTGTTGTTGGTTTAGTCCATTCTATGGTATAATCGCATGATTTGACTTCCAGGCACATATATATATATATATATATATATATGGCTAGGAAACGGGACCACTCACAAACTTATTATTATTGCAGCATACGGCAGTACCCTTGCAACCGTTAAGCAGTCCGAGGTTCAAGACGCCCTCCATCGGCTCGCCTAAATTTAGTCAACAAAACAAACGCATCCCGCCAGTCAGCTTTTATTTCTTTCGCCGTATTGCCAACTTTCCTCCTTTCAATAATTAAAATATAAATAAAAGAAGGTAAAGGGATAACGTACACTTAGTCCCAACGCTGCCCTTCGACTTCTGCGCTTCCTTATCCAGACCAAAGATCTTCAGTCCTTGGATGACGGACTTGTCTTGGCTGGAGTGGGTGTTCTGGCAACACTGAGGGACGGAGTTACAGTTGCCGCTGCCATCCGCGCGGACGACGAGCGGGGCACCGTCTTCACCCCTGTGGGGTGGGACAGCGACGGCGCTGACGATGGTGCCGATGAAAGCAAAAGCGGAGAGGAAAAGTTGGAGCTGCATTTTGGATGTTATTGTTGTGTAGTGACCTGTTATGCGGGAGATTGTAGAGATTGGAGGGGAGGGATAATGCTGGCGGAAAGAGTGGAAAGGGTATTTGGTGATTTGCTTGATGTTTTTTGGAGGGGGGAAGAGCGATATGAATGAGAGTCAGGTATTGTGGACTTGATATTGTTAAGGACAGGATGCTTTGCTTTGCTGTGGGCCTGGGGACGAGAAGAGAAGAGCAGTTGGGAGGTGGGCGAAGAGCCTTATATAGATTTTTCCGGTCTCTGTTCACGTATGGATGCTTCTTGTTAACAGCATATGGCCGTGATATGCTTGGATAGGGGGTGTGGAATCCTGAAACTCCCTTGCCTCCGTCAAGGGTCTACAAGCCATGCTGCGTGCAACTCTGCCACCATCTCGAGAAGACGAAGAGACGACGTCGTCGCACTCCCCTATTCAAAATCCTCCAGTATAGGGCCAGTCGAAGTGGTGCAAAACGTCAATCGCAATTCGAAAAATAATAAATACCTGATATTTTGCTCACTGGCTGCTCCAGCCACTTCCAGATACGGAATGAGGATCCAGGAACAAAAGCCCAAGTGCACAGGAGTACCACCCCATTTGTGCCGGGTGTGTACTGTGCACAGGCTAATGTACGTTCCCGTCGAGCTCTTTGAGACAGACGCAAAAAAAAAAAAAGAGGGAGAAAGAGCATGTAGCAATACAAACTGGTTTGAGGGCAGCAGCAGGAGCTAATAGTTGCAGTTGATTTGGAACTAGAATCGAACCAGTTTGAGTTACTGTGGCTCTCTGCCTGTGGTATCAATGGAGCCGGCTGTGGTGTACTTGCACAAAGTACCTGCATTTTGTGCCAGCTGGCTTGCTTGTTTGCTTAGGATTAAAAGAAAACTCAGTGTGGGCAAGGGGAATGATACTTAACCGCCAGGTGTCCGGTGAGCGTTCGGGAGGGTTCGCGGGATGGAGGTTGGCATGAAAAGGCCTGCAGGTGTGGGCAACGACTGTCTGACCACATATCAGAGGAGTTGCATTCATAAGCACAGCACAAGTATTGTCGATGTAACTATTATCCCAGGCTGGAGAGGCTGGTGACACGGGCAAGATTGGGCTAAGTCAGAATGTATAGTAAATGTGGTTGAAAAAGGGGGTAAATAATGGTTTGGTTGCAAAAGTGTGGAAAGGCTCGTCGACGGTTGATGATTTGACGATGTACTGTACAACCAGCCCCTATTCCTTTTCGAAGGTGTCTTAGGTTCATGTTGGCCGATTGTCTAATAGATATTAATCTTAGGGGCGGCTAGCACTCATGTCAGTAAACAAAATATCAAAGTTGATAATGATCTCTATATAATTCCGTTTATGGGCAGTAACGTGACCTGCTAGCTTCTTCCTAATGTGTACAGATGTATAACTAGGTGATATCAATATCTCGCAATATCTAGCAGTAATATGAATTAATACTCTTCAATTATTTACATTCTGCTATATTCATGTTGTTCTCCAACACCACGTCTGAGTAGATGCACTATGTTTATGCTTATGTAGCCGGTCGTAGCGAGTGTAGCATGCTTGTACTTGTAAAGAAAACGTGGGTAAAAAAGATCTCCCTAGCCACTCATACCAAACAAAACCAGAATGATGAAACAGCTTGACGTCCGTACGTAGAGAGAGATCAGGCGCTGCGGATTTGTATACATACCTATATTGAATTTTCTAGATGTTCTTTAAAAAAAAAGAAAAGGAAAGCATCAAAATAAAGCAAATTAAAAAAAAAAAAAAAGTAATAGTAATTTACAGCCTAGCCGTCTCCTTCCTCCACCCAACCTCCTCAGCAATAAGCTCCGCCGCCCGCTCCGCAATCGCCAACACCGTCACCATCGGGTTAACGGTAGGCATGGTCGGAAACACGCCCGCATCCGCAATACGCAGTCTTCTCAATCCCTTCACTTTCAACTGCGAATCAACAACCGCATACGGATCGTTCACCACATCCCCCATTTTCGTCGTGCCCGCCGGGTGGTAGACGGTATGCGCCGCACGCCGCCCGTACTCGCTCAATTCCTCGTCGGTCGTGAGGTCAGGGCCCGGCGCGACTTCACGCTTTATCCAGTCCTTGAAGGGAGCTTGCTGCGCGACTTTGCGGGCGGCTTTGAAGCCGGCGACGATCGTGGCGGCGTCGTAACCTTCTGGGTCGGTGAAGTAGCGGAAGTCGAGGGCTGGTTTCACGGCTGGGTCGGCGGAGGTGAGGTAGAGGCGCCCGCGGGAGCGGGGACGGGGGATGTTGGGAGTCATGCAGAAGGCGTTCATGGGGACGTCGTAGCCGAGCCTGGAGGTGTTGACGCAGAAGGGGATTTGGTAGCAGTGCATCATTACGTCTGCGGCGTCGCCGTCGAAGCCGGCGGCATTGGGGGCCTCGCGGCGGAGGAAGACGCCGGCATCGGAGTCCATTGTTGTTTGGTTTGGGGGCACGGGTTTGTTGAGTTCCCAGATTATGATGCTTTCCGGGTGGTCGAGGAGGTTCTCACCGACGCCTGGGATATCCTTGACGACAGGAATGGACAGGGAGGAGAGTTGTTCCTGAGGTCCAATGCCGGATAAAAGTAGAAGGCGTGGGGTATCGACTGATCCAGCACAGAGGATGGTCTCCCGCTTGGCATTGACGGTGAGTTTTTCTCCGCATTTGAGAGTCAGGTTGATTCCTGTCACGGTATCGTCTTTGACATTGACGCGCGAGACCCAAGCGTTCGTTAAAATGGTCAAATTCGGACGCTTCTCGTCTCCGCAGAGGACGGGATGGATGTAGGCGACACTCGCACTGCTCCTGCGGCCATCCTCAGGGTTGTATGCAATAGAGAAGAAGCCCACGCACTCTGTCAATTTGCCGTTTTCACGAATTTCCTTGTTGAAGTCTTCGATCACCGGGATATTGAGAGCGGAGGAGCAAGATTCTACCCAATCCTTGCAAAGCTGGTTGCGGTGTCGGAGGTGCACGGGCTGGATGGTGTTCCGCAGGTTGTCCGCAAGGCGGGTGAAGGTTTCAAAGTCCCAGCCTTTGCAGCCCATACTTTCCCAAAGCTTGCAGTCATACTCGAAAATCCGGAACGAGATGAGGGTGTTATGGCTGGAGCAGCCACCAAGGACTTTGGCGCGGGAATGACGGATAGAACTATTGCCTACAGATAGCAAAAGGAGGAAGGTGAGAAGGTAATAATATAGGCAGTGAATGACACTGATAGAGAAAGGAGCTCACGGAGGGAAAACGGTTTCACATAATCGTGATGGCAACCTGAAGGCCCGGGGAGGAAACGCGGGTCAAAATTGCTGGATCGTAAACAGATATAGACATACCCATCGGTTGTTCTACCGTCCCGTAGTCATAGTCGAACTCCTGAGAGCCTAGCAAGCTGAGCCAGTCCTTGAGGATCAGGATTCTGTCGTTCTTGTAGTCGCTGGGCCCCGCTTCGATGACGAGGATCCTCATGCGTGGGAGATATTCTGCCAGCCTGCTGGCGATGACACAGCCAGCTGTTCCTCCGCCGACGATAACATAGTCGTAGCTGTCGACATCAGCTGCAGACAGATGATCTGTAGTTGCCATGTTTTCTTTGTTCTATGTTCTTCCAATATATATATATATATATATATATAACCCTACTCTACCTTTTGGACTCGTGTTGAACAGGTTTTTCGGGCACGGAGACGACGGAAGCGTTGTTGAACGGTTTCGATGCTCGAGTACGGAGAGAAAACGCGAAGAGAACCAAGGTCAAAGCAGCAATCAAAAAACGAACAGTGTTTGCAGTGCCTTACTGAGTCGATGTTGACACCGGCAAAGATGCCATCCAAGGTGGGCGATCTGTCAATGACAAGCCGGGGAGCGGAATTCTACCCTGTACAGTACATCAATGACAACAACCAGGTGGGTTCAAACGTAGAAATATACGGGCACGCAGTCTATCCTCAAACGGCAGCAAACGCATGTAAATCGAAGTTGCGGCGGTTTTCCTGTCGCCAACAATTGATTGTAGATGCGGTGGGAAGGCGGACTGCCTCAATGGTCCAGCATCGGTTCCGCCGGGATTCGAGTGCTGGAGCAAGTTCTCCGTGCCCGGACCGATCAGCTTGAGGGTTGCTTTTTTTTTTTTTTTTTTTTGGTGTCTCAACCCTCGCCCTCTACGGTTACGGTCTACCGAATCCAATTCCTCAACCCTCTGACGCTCAGCTGTGTCCCAGCCAATAATTCGAGCTGCCTTGGTGACTTCGTCGAACCCCGTCTCGGCGCCAACCAGCCCTAAAGCCTAACTGGGAAGGCGGATGGATCCCTTGTCTGCCTTTTGTTGGTTTGGACAGTGACTCGGCGCTGCATGATGACATCGATGGCGGCACCAGGAACCAGGCCAGAGGGAACAGTTCAACTTATCATCGATGAACAACTCCAGCCATAGCACCCTCGCGTGTCACCGATGTCGAGGAACAAAATAAATGTGGTTTGTCTGTGGGCGGAATCGTCCCTTGCCGCTGCCGGTGAAAAGGTGAGTTGGATCAGGAGTTGATTGATCTAGTCATTGATTTTTTTTTATTTATTTATTTATTTATTTATTTTTTTTCATTTTCATATATCTGCATGAATTGATGAGATTCCAATTTAAGATAACACCAGGAGCCGAAAGAAGAGAAGTGTTTTTTCGAAGTGATCCTCGCTGGGCCATCATCAATCATATCCATCCAAATAGGACATTTCAATTTTATGAAACCAACCCGCATGGTAGGACCTTCAAGACCCACCAAAACGAAAAAAGAAAGAGAAGAAAAAACTATTTTTTATGTTTCTTCAAATATTAGAAGAAGAGCAGAAAACTTTGGGCTGGTTACTTTATGACGATCAAATATTCCTGTTATTCCTGGCCTCTATTCCCAGAACGCCTCTGTTAAGAACATATATTTCTTTTCTATAAAACGACACAAGAAGGCTCTGCTCTAGTTATCTTAATGAAGAATATAAAAACTAAAAGGGTGCATTCAATACAACCAATCCGAAGCAAAAAACCATCTCAGAAGCTAAAAATGAAGACAAAAGTCATATCATGCTGAGGCTACCTTGTGTTATTTCTATCTTTTTTTCAAAACGCTGACTTGTTTTGCCCACTTGAATTCCAGCCCAAGGCTTGCTTGCCTATCTTTCAGTCGCCACGTGCCAATGTTCGTGGACAGTAATGCCGCCCACCTCATTGCTCTCTAGATCGCTACTGTCATGCCCGCTGGACGCAGGCTTTTTCGAGGAACTGACCGCAGCGAAATGTTTGCCCGCAACCGGCCTCAGCTGATACTGCGAGCTGTTATCATTCAGTTGTTCGAAGCCGCCGCCACCACCGGGCCCGCTATTTTTCGACGCGCCCGTGGAATTGGCAGGGTAGCTTGTGCTGCTGCCGGAACCATACTTGGGGCGCTGTAACAGAGGCCGTAAGAGCGGGATGCAGGATAGGGTGACAGCTACGCTGGGTTCGAGGCCGGAGAAGATGTTTGCTGGGGGAATGGAGTAGGTAATATCTGCGAAGTCCATAGAGGAAAGTGTGTGGATGCGGACAGCACTGACGACGCAGGTTCTGTGGGGTTGGTTGAACAGATGGTAAGTAACGTTTTGCTACAAAATAATCCTCCCATTCCATTCGAACTGGTTGACTCTGAGGGGGGAGGAAGCATACAGAAGACCAATGCTGAACACGCCAATCAGGACCAGTTTTTTATACAACTGCATCTGCAGCTTAGCCAGGTATGGTAAGGGGAGGCACAACACCAAGATGTCGGTGACAAGGTTAAAGACACCGGTAATGGTGAAGGAGAGGACCTGGTCACCACATTTTCCACCGGGGATTGTCTGGTCCCAGTTAAAGGCGAAGGGACGGCAAATGACACAGCCTGCGACAATGGTCGCGATTGCCCATGCAGCGATGAACACCATGGCGCCTCTTCCTACCCAGATAACAGTCCGTACAGGGAATACCTTGGAGTAAAGCATGAGGATGGACACTTTGCAGAAACTTAGACTGAGAACCCAGAGGAATTGGAGCGGGATGAGTAGCTGGATGCAGATGTGTTAGTGATATGGAGCTTATAGTCCTTATCCATATTAAATGAATGGTGTTCGACGGAACTATAAGCTTTCTTCAAGAATTGCTTACCTTTAGAAGCTTTGTGATGGGTTCGAGTCCGTATTCCTGGATCACTTGTACTGTGTGTCCATATCCAATGCCACACTGGATGACGCCTACAGCTCGTGCACGTCAGAAAGTGGCTCCTACAGCTGCCGTGCCATACATTGAGGCATGGATGTTGGGTGCTCTAAGGGTGGTGGTTTTTGCCCACTACCTACCGGTGATACTGATGGACTCCAAAGCTACCGCAAATATCTGCCATTCGGTTAGTGGGAGATGGGAAGGATAACTAATGAGACGAATCGGACCACAAACTCACACATGCGACGATAATATAATAGTCACTTGCATCCAATGATCTGTTCGCAAAGTGTCGAGCAAGCATACGCAACATAACCGCCAGTGCCGGAATGATGGCGAAGGCAATTGCAACTCCCAGAACTGACCTCTGCTCAGCTGTTACGATAGGGAAAGGTGGTGCTTTGGACGGCGGTGGAAGGCCCTCCATGTTGACAAATGCGTTGCAAACGCTTCAATTTGTTTCAACAGATGCTTTCTTGGTAGTGAGGTTTGGAAGCCACATCTAGAACGGGGTGGGGAAAAAAAGGAAGGGAAACACGACTGCCCGCGGTCGTTGAGCACGAATCCGCTTTCTAGGACGGTTCCCTATATATAGGCAGCTGCAAAACCTTCAACAGGGTTGTCCTCTGAGCAAAACGAGGGATGATAGGGGAAACACTGCATAGACAGGAAGAACAGAAAAGCCTTCCCGTCTCGATACTGTAGGTGGCGCGACCAAAGTGGATAGCAGCAGAGGCTTTTAGCTACTGTGGCAGAGTCAACCCGCGCAAGGATTGACTGTCGATCAAAACGGGAATTTGGATAGCCATAAGGCAATCCATCACATTTTGAATTTTTGATCGCGGTCTGGTCCTTTTTACGGTGTTTGGAATATTGCCATCATTCCTAAAGACTTTGGCCGGCGAGCGGGATGTGAATGGAATCCCGGACCAGAACTCCACTGCTTAGACTCTTTAGCGCATTGACGGCCTGACTCTGTCAGCGTTGACCTGGGTGATCTCGACTGTGTATACAGATTACGAGACAACGGGATGCACTCTGCTTCGAAAAAGCTGCTTGTCATCCAAGCATTGTCAAAACGCCTTCCCTCAGTATAACGGGAACCCATATAAACGGATCATGAAAAACACCGACTGTGTTATCAGTGTATTTTAGCTCCAGATTGAAGGACAGTATTCGTGGAAGGATATATACGGGTTCACGGTACTGAGGAATCATCCCCAACTCCCCAAGCGGATACATTGAAAATTTACAGGTCTAAAATTTTAAACCCTTGACGACCGTTTATGGACCCACATTAAGTCGTCTCCCGTTCGTCTGACAGGTGATCTAGCAAAAGCACACCTTGCTTCCGAGAACATAGTAGGCGAAATACGTGCGATATACAATGGGATGGGTAGGCCTTGGCGCCCCTTTTGAAGCAGTTGGTCTTTTTGTTTTTAGTCCCTTCATCAGCTCAGGTGCCCTAACACTCTTCGCGGCCCACCGGGAAGAGATGCGATTCTGCGCCCATCCCTTACCATGCAGGGTTCGCTAGTGGGCTCCAGCAGTTTGATGTTTCAGCTTCCGGGTTGATCCAACCCACCAAACCGCTAAGAAAACGGCCGAGTCTGGAAATTGCCCCGAGCGGTACGTTAGGCTGTTGGCATTTGTGCTTCCCAGCTGAACGGGCACGGTAGTTTGGAAGCCTTCAAGTTTTTATGTGTTTTTGGTTATCCCTCGCATATCGGTGAGAGGATTGATTCCTTCAGCCAGTCAGTGTTTGAACTGATTGGGCTGACGTCTGACTAAAAGTAGAAGTGCCAATGGTTGCTGTCACCGATGCGGAGCAGGACGAACGCTCTTCGTTGGGTCCCGTCGCATCCACAATGGCGGATCCACTGCTCCACACTCCCGGGAAGAAGTCCGACGACAGAGCGGGATTCGACGTCTGGCCAATCAATGCACGCCATTTCTTTGCGTCCAGGAAATTTTGATCTATCAACGGCTGGGAACGAGCTTTAGCACGAGAAAAGGGCATAGTTAAGCGCACAGCTCAGGTTCGGGACGAAGGGTGTATTTCCAATTGGCCTGTAACATGGGGCAGCCACCAAAACTCTCCTATCAGCGGTTGGGGGTTTCGAATGACCCGTCTAATGGGCCATGTGGCTTGCCGCCAATACCATTGTGCAAAATATTCACGGGAGAGCCTGTTTGACAGACTAAAAAGGGGAACAAGATCAATCACCTCTGACGGGATGCTTGCTCCTCAAGAGAAGCCTCGCTTGGGGAGGGAAGCCGGCCACGGCTCAAGGGGCACTAATGCGGCCGCCACCTGGACGGCGCAAAACTGTCTTCTGAAGAATGCGAACTAATTTTGCACGAGGAGAGTTATCACAATTCCCAGGATGGAGTTGCCATGAACTCCATATGGGACTCAACAACAATCTTCAACGGCGAGTCGCGAAGTTTCTGTGGGTAAACGACAGCGATTCTTGATGCCGAGATTCCCTGAGTTTTTCAAGCCCATAAATTTGAAACCGACCCTAGTGCAATATCTGGAAGTCATGGCAGGGTTGAAGGAGTTCACGGGCTTGGGCGGGCCGCAGCTTGCTGGCCTGTTTGCCGTTGCTGTTCTGACGCTCTGTATCTGGCGTCGTTACCTTTCCCCGATAAGTGACGTTCCGGGACCGTTTGCAGCCAGCTTCACTCGGCTATGGCATATCCATCGTATCCTCAAGGGGGACCAAAATCTGGAACTCATTCGGTTACACAATCAACATGGTATGTGTACTTGATCTTTAACTTTTCTGGTAACTGTCCTTATACAACATGTGTTGTTAATCGAAGCGGCACCAAAATAGGTCATTTTGTTCGTGTGGCGCCCAATGAGGTCAGCGTCAGCCATCCCGATGCCGTCAGAAAGATCTTGGGAACGATGCTTCATAAGGATAAATGGTACAAGATCATAGCCTTCCCAGATGGCCGTTTCGAGAACCCCATGTCCGCTACGGACCCCAAAGTGAAATTGGAGTTGTCCAAGCATCTTGCGCCTGCCTACACTCTCTCCAACCTACTCATAAACGAGCCCAGCATCAGCGAAACCATCAAGCTCCTGCTGGGATGGCTGGACAAGTTTGCTTCCTCCGGCGAGCCAATCGATCTGGGTAAATATTTTACCTTCGCAACCTCAGACATCGTAGGCGACGCTGTATTCTCTAAACAATTTGGTTTCTTACGCGAGGGTCGCGATATCAACAACACTATTGCCAACGCTACGCCGCAGACGGCCTACGTCTCTGTTGCCGGCTACTTCCGCTGGTTCCATGTTCTCTTCCTCAGCAACCCAGTCATCACCTGGCTGAATATCACGCCATGGGGCCACCTTATTGACACAGCTATGACGGCTATCAAGGAGCGCCAGAAGAACCCTGATGCGCGAATAGATGCCGTCGCCCACTGGTTCCGTATGCTCAATCAGCACCCCGATCGCATGAAGCTGCATGAGATCCATAGCGCCGCATTTAACGCTGTCGCGGCTGGCAATGAAACCGTCTCATCTGGGCTGCAGGCATTCGTGTACTATATGATCCGCCATCCAAAATGCCTGGGACCGCGCGAGGGCGGAGATCGACGCCGCCGGCCTTAAGGACCCTGTCATCAGCTACATGGATGCGCAGAAGTTGCCTTTTTTGCAAGCGTGTATTAAAGAGACGCTTCGCATATTCGGACCTGCGCCAATGGGCCTACCGCGCATTGCACCCGAGGGCGGCTTGACAATTGGTGATCGAACTATCCCCCAGGGAACCGTTGTCTCTGTTAGCATCTGGGTTATGCATTATTCGAAGGAGATTTGGGGCCCGGATGCTGGTGAATTCAATCCCGATAGGTGGCTGGGTGAGGATGCGGCGCGTCTTACGAAATATTATATTCCCGTAAGTAATTCAGTATCCCCCATCCGGCATCCATGACAAAATCTCCCCAGCTAACATACATCGCTTACCAAAAACAGTGGGGGATGGGCTATGCCTCCTGTCCTGGGCAGCACCTGGCGCGAATCGAGTTGTACAAAATTTGCGCAGCGCTCGTGCGAGACTATAATATCCGACAAATTGACCCAAAGCAAGAATGGACGTGGAAGGCTTACTTCACTGTGGTTCCGCATAACTGGCCATGTATTATTGAGAAGCGGAATAAGGAGACCACTCCCTAGGCACCGTGTTATGTCCGCAAGGATGCCATCATGCTAATACCCACCACACCTCCTTGGATTTATTATAAACGTTAATGCTTTTTCTACCTCTGTTATGACATTCCTCCTCATTTGCTCTCTTTCTCGCAGACACGGCCTTTGCAACCTATATTATAATATCGTTCAATTTTCTCCAATGCACGAATTGGTCAGTATATAACACCACATATTTAGGTCCCAAATTGAATCATTCTTTGAACAATAAATTTGTTATTATTATTATTATTATTATTATTATTATTATTATCTCCCCCAAAACCTTACCTAAGAAGAAGGATGTGGGAAACTGTTCATCCACAACAAGGGAATACATGTGATGAGCTAGCCCAGTACCGGATTAAAAGCCCCTTTTGCACTACAGAACTACCCTACAACAATGAGACACTGCAGATTGTCACGGAGCAGCTGTTAATGTACTCAGAAATAAGGAATTGAGAAGACAGAGAGACCGAAAATAAAAGAAATAGATTTCATGCTCACCTACATTAAAACACATCTGCAGAGTGTTCCCCTTTTCGGCATCATGTTTGTGCTCCCAAAAGCACAATCGTCTACGTCATTTCACGTGACTATCAAGCCGTACCCGCCATATGATTTTCCTCAAAGCCTTCAATTTCGGTGCCCATTGTATGGTTGCTGTAACGAGCGGAAGAAAACACAAAACAACTTGGAGTTCTTCCCATTAAGCTAACATACTTTTAGAATTTCAGAGCGACCACCTGTGTTGGGGGTCCCTTCTGAAAAGATGTCCTCCTCTCACTACACTTCACAACGTCTATACTTCGACGGAAAAGTCCAGCAGTCAAGCTCCGGCAAGCATTTCCAGTCCATTGACCCCTCCAACGCCTCAGTTCTCGCAGATGTGGAAGTTTCGTCAAATAGAGACATTGATGCGGCCATCGATTCAGCCAGGAGGGCTTTCCCTGCCTGGTCCCAGACTCCGCCTGCTGTAAGAACCAGGGTGCTCCTGCGTGCAGCCCAAATACTCCGCGCTCGAAATGATGAGATCGCCAAGGTCGAAACACAAGATACGGGCAAACCATTCTCGGAGACAAGCACGGTAGACGTCGTTACTGGGGCGGATGTGCTTGAATATTTTGCAAACCTGGTTGGCGGAGGAGGGTTGAACGGCGAAACTACCCAGCTACGGGACGATGCCTGGGTATATACGAAGAAAGAAGCCTTGGGTGTCTGTGCTGGAATTGGCGCGTGGAATTATCCTATTCAAATGTAAGGAGAAGACTAAGCAGACAAGAACCCGTTTGAAAACAATTCAAAATATTCTAATTTAGGCTTTCTTTTCCTTTCTTTCTGCTGTTGTTCTCTAGCGCTTTATGGAAATCCGGCCCCTGTCTCGCTGCAGGGAACACCATGGTCTATAAACCCAGCGAATACACTCCTCTTCATGGCCTTATTCTCGCACAAATATACACAGAAGCGGGCGTACCCCCTGGCGTCTTCAATGTCGTCTACGGCGCTGGGGAGGTGGGTGCATACCTCACCGCTCACCCCACCATCGCCAAAGTCTCCTTCACGGGCCAAGTGTCGACAGGGAAGAAGGTCGCCGGCTCCGCTGCCGGTGCCATGAAATATGTAACGATGGAACTGGGCGGGAAAAGCCCGCTGATAATCCTTCCAGACGCGGACATTGAGAACGCCGTTGACGGCTCTATGATGGCCAACTTTTTCAGTACGGGCCAGGTATGCACGAACGGCACCCGCGTCTTCGTTCCCAGAAGCCTCAAATCGGCCTTCGAAACCAGCTTGCTGGATAAAATGAAGTATGTCCGTGCGGGACCCCTCATGGACCCCAGCACCAACTTCGGTCCCCTCGTATCGGCCGTCCATTTCGAGAAAGTCACCAGCTACATCCGCCATGGCATCGAGCAGGATAGAGCCAAGCTCCTCTACGGCGGCCTGGAGCAGCCGCGTGTTCCTGAACATCTGCGGAAGGGCTACTGGGTTGCGCCGACGGTTTTCACAGACTGTACGGACGACATGAAGATTGTCCAGGAGGAGATCTTCGGTCCTGTCATGTCTATCCTCACGTACGACACGGTCGAGGAGGCTGTGAGGAGGGCCAACGAAACGCCCTTGGGCCTGGCGGCGGGTGTCTTCACGCCGAATCTCAATATGGCGCATAAAGTTATTGCGCAGCTGGAGGCGGGGATTACGTGGATCAATTCGTGGGGAGAAAGCCCGGCGGAGATGAGTGTTGGAGGCTGGAAGCATAGCGGTGTCGGAGTTGAAAATGGGCGGAGAGGGATTGAGGCATGGGTGAGAAATAAGAGCACACTAGTTGACATGAGTGGCGGGATTACGACCGCATTTACGAAATTGTAAAATAGGAAGGAGTATAGGGGCGGTTCCGACTGAGACGCAAGGTTGACTGCAGGTGTGAATTTGTATGTATAAAACTGAAAGGCCTTCATTAACACACTCCCTTTTTGTTTGTGAACAGGAGGGACACTTTGAATCTCCGCCGAATAACTACTACAGTCTGACATTGTATACTCGAGCTAGTAGCATTATCTATACATGAACTAATATTTTCGGTTTGTAAAACGTACAAGACTCAGCGCAAGCAAAATAGTCATACATGCCATAAATGCACATAGAATGGAGAAACATGTTGAGTAGCCAAAGAGAGGACCCCTGGGCAGCGAAGGAACTTTGACCAAATCGGAACTGACTCCACAGGTCAAGAAAGAAATCGGGGTATATAGAAACAAATTCGGGAAAATGACTCTTTAGTAGTTTAAACAAAAAAAATAAAAATAAAAAAGTAATTGAAATAAATAATAATGCAGGAAATGCGATCAGAAAAACGGTAGGGGTAGGGGTAACTTGGAACTTGGAAGAAGTTTTGGCCCGGAAACAAAATGTAAAATTGAGAACAAGTTTTTTTTTTTTTTTCTTTTTCAAAATTCAGAAAAGATTAAGATACGGCGTCTGCGGAATCCAAACATGGCATCAAATCAGGACGAACGGGTTGAAGTTTTTCCACGAATGTGACGCTAAAAGGATGGCGTTCCCACATCCTGCTTTTCTCATAAATATGGTCTCTCACCACCGCGGTTTCATACTTCATCAATCCTTGACCCCATTCTATCAAAAACCAAATCGCCCGCGATCGTCGCATCTAGCCCCGCAATTGAAGAATCTTTAAGGCGTGATGACATGCTATCTGGGGTCAACTCGTCCAGCTCTTCTTCCCCGCCACCATTTGCAGTTCGTGGGTGGAAGCCGGATGTGTCAATCGTAAGCTTGCTATCCTTGACCGGGGTTGAGGCATCGTTCGCGCCCGGGGAGTGAGGTGGAGTCATAACTGGAGGTCTATATTGCTTTGTGCGATGGACCAAGGGCGGTCCCTGGGTCCGCGCATCGGTGCCGGCTTGCTCAATGCTGACGAAGTACTGAAATCGGGAATATTATTGATTTAGTGAAAGTGGTATTTGCCAATAACCAGAAAGGGATTGCATTTGACTTGTCTGGAGTGGATGCATATTTTGCTCCTATGGAACATACCTTGACAGTCTTCACCTTCAACTCCAACGTCGCGTCCTCATCCACAACAATCAGCGGATGGGGATGTAGTTGGAGCGCTGAAAGCGTCCACATGTGATTGACGCCGCTCTCTATACCCTTCTGCAGCGCTGTAGCCTTATGCGCACCCGTCACGACAATCACCACCTCGCGTGAGTCCAAGATCGTCTGGATCCCCACCGTCATCGCCTGGCGGGGTACTTGCGAGATGTCATTATTGAAAAAGCGCGAGTTGGCTAAGAGGGTGTCATAGGCGAGTGTCTTGACACGCGTGCGCGAGCGGAGGCTGCTACCTGGCTCGTTGAAAGCGATGTGCCCGTCTGCGCCGACGCCGCCGAGGAATAGATCTATGCCACCCACTTGCAGGATTTTGGCCTCGTAGTCGGCACATTCTTTGATCGGGTCTGGAGCGTTGCCGTTTAGGATATTTATGTTTTTTGGGGGTATATCGACATGCGAGAAGAGGTGTTTGTACATGAAGCTGTGGTAGCTTTCTGGGTGATCGCGGGGAAGCCCCACATACTCGTCCTGTGGGGTAAGAGAAAATGTTAACAACCACTTTTGTTCATCTTCTTCGCGGCGTCTTCCTTGATCTCTGGGGGTTTTAGGAATGCCGCTCCTGCCCCGGGTCCTTTGAGATCCGCCAAGGCGAAAGTGGGGAATGAGGTTTAATCTACCATGTTGAAAGTGATGACATGTTTGAAGGAAATCTCGCCAGCTTTATACCGCTGGACGAGGATGCGGTAGACGGTCTGTGGACTGCTTCCGGTGGGTAAACCAAGGACAAAGGGCCTATCTTCTGACGGAGCAAATTGTTTGATACGGCCTACATAGAGACAGCGCACGCATCAGTTAACAAGGACCTATGCGAATGGAATGGAAGGCAACTGCGACAGGAAAGAAGAATGGAACATGATATATTCTTCTGGGGGTTTTCTCAAAACAAAAAATTCTGTACAAGAATCGGGGTGAGGATGACAGATGGACGTAGCACAGTAATGGGTGGGGATAGCCAAGGTAAAGAAGGAGGGCTTATGGTATGCAGCATAGGACATACTGATGATGTAGTCCGCAACATATTCGGAGACTCTCTGCGGATCTTTCCTAATTATCACTCTCCTGTGCACTGGTATGTTAGTCCAGACGTTCCAAGATATCTACACTGGCAAAGGGCAGAGAACTGTGTGTTCTCTTACATTATGCCTGATGAGAAGCTAAGGGGCGGGGGGGACGGTGTATGTAGGTGGAATATATGTAGGTTGAAGGAATATATGTCAAAAATGGAAATGAGCTTGGAGGTATGAAGATTTGAGTTTCAAAAAATCGTCATCGACTCGGGTTTCATGAATAGAAGAGAAGCAACCGGTCGTAGAAAGTTGTCGTGGAATATTTAGTATCAACCAGCGGGGCGAGACCAGATTCACTGGTTTAATAGGTTGAAAAAACTCTTTTTGCCGCCTATCAGACTGGTCAAGGTCACAGCCCTATTTGGCAGAAGCCAAGTTGGCGACATCATCACCGGTAACTTTGAAGACCTTGACCCGCAAGATGCATAGCGGCTCCCAAACAGGAAAACTCCATCACTACTGAGGGAGTGATGGCTCGAATGCTGTCTCGCCCGCCGAAAACTGCGAGCACGTATGTTGTAGCAGAGGAGTAGCATTAGTAGGTGACATAGCAGAGCCCTTCAGTCCATCGCTTACGGATGGATGGCCAGTCCTTACAGAGATGAGGTCCCCGTCCCCATGCAAAGAGCCCACTTTGAGATCGAGTAATAATCATGGATCCCTCTCCACCATAACGAAGGCGATTCACTGTGTGCAATGGAACTGAGCAGCTCACTATCATTTGCCATCATCTGATTTCGCATCCGTTGCACACATATCAAAAGCCGCATCGCCCAACTAAGTCTCGAAGTCTCGGCGACGTCCCTGGGCTCCCATTGGCAGAATGTAGATACAAAGACATGGTCTGCGGGCTCTCTTCTGCTCCAAGCTGGCCCCGGTTAGGCCCCGGTTCGCCCCAGATGGCACAATGTAACGGTCACAGTTGTTTATGGAATAAGGTTATCCAACCTTGGCCTTGCCTGCGTTTTGTGGTGATGCTTTCAAGGTTTGGCTTCCCTTTTCGATATTTTCTTTGCTTCCTTGTTTCGCTTGTATTTCCTTTCTTTCTTTATTATTATTATTATTTTTTATTTGTTGCATGATTGGCTCACCGTCTCCGCCAAAGATTCCCTGTCGTTTTCGAGAATACGTGGGGGATCTGTTCCAAGTTTAAATCTGTAAATAAAGCTTTCGGCAGCACGTTGAGTCCTTTCTTCCAGCAGGAGATGGAATGCTGCACACTCCTCCTTTCAGCGTAATTTCATATCTTCTTGTCATTGCCGTTTTGCAGATGCGAGCTGAGGCTCTGAAATCCTTTGTAGCCGGTTGCGTGCATCAAAGGCTAGCAACAAGCCTGCATAAACGCTGGGCCGCGCAATACCTGGTTTCCACCAACCCTGGACCTGTAGGCTGTAAACACATGCTGCGTAAAGAAGCGTCTTTATATTAACTAGCTCTCGAGACTCCAGCTGTATTCTGGCTGGTAGCGAAATTGGAGCTCCCCGCCGGTTCCTTGTTGGAGCTGTCCAAGATCCATCTGCGCGCGTTTTGGTTGTCGAACTCTGGGCGCGGCTAGTCCGCCCGGTCCGTTTGGTGACCACCGAATCAACCATCTCCTCCGCAGCCGAACCGACAGCTCCATGACCTTGAAGCGCTAAATAATCCATCTGCGATCAGCATCGCGAGCTCTGGTTGACTAATCGAGAGAACGAGAACGAGACCCCATCCTGGCTGCGGCTCTTCCAGATTTGCTCAAGCCGAATCGGTTGAAACAACGAAAAAGGACTCTCTGTTTTGGGCCTTGGGCGCCACCACACATCAACTGCAACTTCAACCGCCCGCACTGCGACTCAGCGCGTCGAGTGACTGTGACCGCAGTCCCTCGATCACCTCCGATCCCCCCCGCTGCTTCTTAAACAACCCCACCGAGCTGCCCTCTGCTGTGGTGTTAGCTGACCCCGTCTCCGGTCCAGCCTCTGCCCGCGCTATTCGTACTAATCCGACGTTGCGACTGCTTGCGATTTCTCGGCAAATATTCGACCTGCCTTCAACCTTTGACGAGCCCGTAACTTCCTCCTGGACAATCGTCCGTTCTTGTTCCGCTAGAATTTTGCGAGGGGGAGGAAGGGTGGTAGCAGATCCCGTGGGCTCTGTGTGTTGCCGATGGATCCTGGGGGCGCCATGAATACCGAGCTCTCCCCTGACTGGGAGAGCTTCGACAGGTAGGCAGCGTTTTTTTGTCTCTGGTTGCCCCCACTTGCACAAGAGCTCTCCACTCCTCTGTATGCAAAAAGATTGATTGATTTGTTGTTTGATGTCTCTAGATGCATACATGATGGAGGTGAGCCAGCTATGCCCACACTCTCCTTCTCCTCATATATGTAACCTTGCAATTCAACGGGAAGATGCTCTGCTAGGGTAAAACCTTACTCTAAGTCGGTCGTGTGGCCCATTATTGCTACTCTTCTGGCGTCCTATGCTTCTTCCTTGAGTATCCTCTCCATCTAATCCTATCTCTCCGTTGCTGTGCATCACAGCTTGAAATGAAGACAACGTGCTTGGGCTAACGGGATACCTTGCTACAATGCGCGAGTTCGACTATAGGCAGATGGGCCAGCTCTTTGTCATGGGCTTCGATGGAACTAGCGTTAATTCGGAAATCCGCTCGCTGATAGAGGACTATCATCTGGGTTCTGTCATACTCACCGCTAAGAACTTGAAATGTGCATATCCCTTCCCTTCTCCCTTTCTTCATATTCAGCCACAATCTCTAGTCATTCATTAACATACACTTGGCTCCTTCCCACTTCTGAGTTTTTGTGTTGAGGAGAGATTAGCGTGGTTGGTCTCAGTTGTCTTAACCACTTGGAGTTAGATGCCTTGAAAAACTTCATATAATTATATATATGTATATATATATATATATATATATATATATATATTAAAATAACATCGGAGGCTGATATCTCAATACAGCGGCGGAAGAAACCACTAAACTTGTCTATGAACTACAAACCATCGCCCGGGATGCTGGCCATCCGGTCCCGTTACTGATTTGCCTCGATCAGGAAAATGGCGGCGTTAACACTTTATTCGACGAGATTTACATACGGCAGTTCCCCAGCGCCATGGGGATGGCTGCGACAGGCTCGAAATCTCTAGCAAGAGAAGTCTGCAAGGCCACTGCCCAAGAGCTCAGCGCCGTTGGTATCAACTGGATCCTTGGTCCCGTGCTTGATGCGTTGACGAATGCCAGAAACCAGCCCCTAGGCGTTCGAAGCGTAGGAGATGACCCGCAAGAGGTGTCCGCGTACGGCATTGAGTTCATGAAAGGCTATCAAGAGGCAGGCTTGGTGACTTGCGGGAAGCATTTCCCCTCATATGGTAATCTCGATTATATGGGTTCCCAGTCTGATGTTCCCATCATCACGGATACTATTGAGCAACTAAGTGTGAGCGCACTGGTTCCTTATCGGAATGCGATAACGCATGGCATAGATTCAATGATGGTAGGAGGATGTTCCATGGCATCAGCTGGAATGACTGTCATGCATGCTTGTTTGTCAGAACAGGTTGTTGACGAACTCCTGCGGAAGGACCTAAAATTCGACGGTGTGGTCGTTTCGGAATGCCTTGAGATGGAAGCACTCAGCTACAATATAGGCGTTGGCGGTGGAACGGTTATGGCCATGAAGGCCGGTTGCGACCTGATCCTGTTGTGTCGATCCTTCTCTGTACAACAGGAGGCTATCAATGGATTGAAGCTAGGAGTAGAAAATGGCATCATTAGCAAAAGCCGCATACGTGAGTCACTACGAAGAGTGCTGGACATGAAGTCGCGATGCACTTCGTGGGAAAAAGCTTTGAATCCACCAGGAATCAGCCTTTTATCGAAAATGCAGCCGTCCCACACTAGCCTATCCACTCGAGCGTATAGCAGCTCGCTCACCGTTGTTAGAGACAAGCACAATAACATCCCGTTATCCAGCGTTCTCGAACCGGATGAGGAACTTCTGCTCCTCACACCATTGATAAAGCCGTTACCAGCATCTGCAATGCTACTATCGATGACCACCGAAGCAAGTCGGGCAGGCCTATCAGCGGATGCCGCATCATGGGAGCGTAGTGCTTCTGTCATGAGCGGTGAAAGTGTTTTCAAGGAGTTTGGGCGATCGTTAGCTCGGCAGAGGAACGGGCGTGTTTTACACACCTCCTACACTGCCAATGGCGTCCGACCAGTCCATGAAAATTTAATCGATCGCGCAAGCGCTGTCATAATTGTAACGGCCGACGCCAACAGAAACTTGTACCAGAATGGATTCACGAAACACGTATCGCTAATGTGCAATTCTCAATTTTCTTCCAACGGCGAGCGCCGCGCGAAACCCGTAATCGTTGTAGCTGTCAGCTCGCCTTACGATTTCGCCACAGATCCATCAATTGGGACGTATATTTGCACCTACGACTTTACCGAAACAGCCTTGCAATCCTTGGTAAAAATTCTTTACGGAGAGCTAACACCTTCGGGCTCACTGCCTGGCTCACTTAGTCGCAACCAGAGACTCCAACAGTCGAGGCAACATTGGCTAGTGGAGAACTGGAATGAGGATCGGGATGCACATGCCTTAGATACTCTCGTAGATATTGTTCGAGAAGATGGTACCCAGTGCCAAAGATCCGAACTTGCTAGCGTTACCTCCACCACCTTCCTTCTCCGCAACAGCGACGTGGAAGAATCCCACTTTGTTGTTCGAAATAGCAGCACACAGGCGCTCTATGGATTTTGTTCTACGTATTACTTCAAATCCACAGGGACGGGCGTGATCGGTGCACTCATTGTCGACCCTTCCCGCCGACGAATGTCCATCGGCCATTCCCTCCATAACCGCGCAATTCGGACACTGATTCAACGGCCAGGCATCCGTAGCTTCCAGCTCGGCTCACGTTTACCAGGCATATATCATGGAATCCCTACAGGAAACCCCACCGAGCGCAAAAGGCTTCGGCAGTGGTTTGCCAATCTGGGGTGGAACACTGCCCTCTCCCGTTCTGTATGCAGCATGATGTTACGAAATCTCGAAGACTGGTCACCGCCGGAAGGATTGACGAAAGTTCTACAGAGCTCGGAAGTCGACTACGATCTCGTTTATGGGTGGGAGTTTGCGGATTCTGTCCTTGATCATGTGAAAACTACTTCGCGTGTTGGGGTCATGGAGATCTACAAAAGGGGGCTTGGCGGTGCTCCGGGTAGCGGGATTATTCGCGCTAAACGCCGGGAAGATGGGACAATACTGGGTAGTGTCGTTGTGTATAATTCCACGTCCGCGCTTGCGGAATCCATGCCGGCGCTTAAGGATACTCGCACAATTGCGGGAGGGATTTCTTGTCCTGTGATCTCTCCTTCTGTCGGGGAGTATGCAACACTGGTACAGGGATTGATCTTGTTGGGAATCAAGCAGATTCGCAAGCAAGGGGCTAGGGCGGCTATACTGGATTGTGTAAGTAGAAATGATGACCCTTCTTACCGTTTCACTCCGTTGTTTTTTCTTCTGTCATCAACCGCGATCATCCCATTCAATACAGAACTCGTTTGGAAATGCCGCCCCCAAGATTACTAGCTAACCTAAAGGCATCTTTCGGCAAAAACAGGTCGACGCTGATGGGAACTACGATAGTCTCTCTGCCATGGGATTTTCCGTCCTGCATAGTTTCGAGGAAGTCACCTGCGATGCTTCCACCTGGAGTATGATGGCTGCCTCATGAGAAAGCTCACGAAATACATCGCATGGCCGGCTATTTCATTTCGCAACGCCGTCTAGATCGATCCTCTTCCCTCGATGCACCTTTTACTATCTACGAAATATCTTTGCTCTGGTATATGTATCACCAAGTTATAGAAACCTTCAGCCCCCCGGATACGAATATCGGTCGTCCTAACCGCTGTTAGATTGGAGATTCAATTCAATCTTCGACTCCACGCCTTTTTTCCTGTTTTTCCTTTCATTTTCATTCCTATTCCCTTCAAACTGCTGAAAATTTTGCACTGAGCAAAATATTTTCTCAGGTGTGTCCTTATTATTTAAATTATCATGCATCATACCTATTCGCGACCGACCCTTCCTCATTCAATAAAACATTGCAGAGCAGATCTATCCTATCTTTTTGTAGCGCATTTTCGGCCGGTGAGATGAGATGCTTTCTACTTAATAAAAAATAGTATTTTTTCTCATCCACATCTCTCAACTACCCCATCACCACAACCACCCCGAGAGCCGTTCTTCCCAACTGCGACCCTTGATTAACGCTTTAACGCCCGTTACATGCCTACCATGTGTTGCTTATTCGCCAGTTATTGCCTTATTTATCGTGGCTTGTGTTGGTTTGGGGTCTCGCGTTCCTGGATGAAAAGATATAACTAACCTCTATTCCTCTCGTTCGGGTACTATAACCTACCTACCTCATCACCAGTGCCTCGTTGTTCGTGGTCACATCCAGCACCCTTTTTTGTTTTGTTTTCACTTTTAATTTTAGTGGTTCTATTCTGTTGTTATGCTCGCGGGACTTGCCTTTCTCCTTAGATTAATTCTGAGACTTTGTTTTTGGTGGAGGGAACTCTATACCCTGTTGACACAAGGATCGTAATTACCATTTTAGGTATACGAGTATATGAAGGAAGGCAGCCATGAATGCAAGGTTTTTGATGATATATCCTTCGGCTGCTATGAATAATAAATATCTTTAGATACGTTGATTCAGATTTTAACTAGGTATGGCTGGCTGGCTCATTGGTTGCTTAATCAGCACCGTAGCGCGCATTATTACATCGTAGCCCCAATCATTCAGAGAGAGACATGACTACCTCAGAGAATAACGCCCTTCTTCTTTCACTCACAATTACCTGTCCAATAAGCCGAACCAAAGAAACAGATTATATCATTTAGTCTATATCCGCATCGGCAATTTTTTACAGCGTAGTTGCTTCCGATACCACTCCCGCGCTCCAAGGGGTCGTCGAACATCCTGGTCTTTGATGCTGAAAGCAGTAAAAAGCCAGTCTATTTTCTCGCTTTACGAAGTTAGTATTGTGCGGTGGGGTCGCTGATTCTGTGGTCAAATGGCTATCTTTCGAGTCGATCTTGTGATAAAAGACGTTTGAGGGTCAAGGGTTCCTGAGAAACCGGGACGGCTGGTTGTGAGCTCATAACCACACTCTCACATCTGGAAGTCAAATTGGACGGCTCTGGCCAGGTTCGTTATATTGCCAGATTGTGTTGTACAAGATCTGGCCGTGAGGGCCATTTGGCATCCTCGCCATTCAATCTATGCAAAATGCTGGGATCTGCGAGTCCAAGTGCCTTCCTGCACCCAGCTACCTTCCTTGCTGAAGATCATTCATTACGCGTTCCGCTCGCAGCTCACCCTTGACGACATAGCAAGGGTCCTCAAATCCTTAACCCAAGCTACAGCTTCCAGGGAATCTATTTCCTGGACCACAAATCATGATGAAAACTCAATTCGCGCGCCTTAGCGCTCATTGTTGTGGATCTCGTCCTGAAAAATTCGGGTCAATTGCCTCTCGGCTTTAATGGGTCTACTATACGAATGCGCGGGAAATATGCAACGGCATTGCCTGGCTCACCGCTGTCCTCAAATGGCTTGTTTAATGAGAACACCAATGGTTGCTAATACAGATTCCTGACGCGACGGTAGCTGAATGCAGATTTATTGCTCCTTCATGTCCCGACACATTGCGCTTTATCATCCCACCAAACTTTGGGAAACCTCGTCTTGAATACGGGGGTGCAGTTCACGATACGCAAATCCCAGCAGCGTTACCTTACGCAACTGTCCTTTTAGGCTCAACTACAGGATCGATGCAATGACGTATTTTCGGAGGAAAGCAGGGGAACCAAAAACATTCGATCGGGCTAAGAGCTTGGGAAATTGCGAAAAAGTGTCAGCTCTTGACATGCAAGGACCGTCAAGGGCGTATTGAACATGCCAAGGTTCTCGACAAAATCTCCGAGCTCGCGCGGGTCAATAAAATGAGTAAACGGTACTACGTGGAACAAAGCTCCTTACACAAGCAAGAAATTATCTGGTAAATCTGTTGCATTCCGGTTAACAGGCCACCAAAATATTTGGGGCTAGTTTAGGGGCCTGATGCCCACTGCGTCAATCTTGGCTCTCTCCACAGCTTCTGCCATCATAATTATGTGAGGTCTGTCCAGACTGATATTCCATATATATTGTCGTGCATGCAAGGCCTTTTTTATGATCTTGTAAGCTTCCATTAATGGAAACTGTCATTGCATACGTGCCAAGAAACCGACGAACATCTGTGATAGAAAGCAAGGCTTTTTCAAGCCTTCTGGTTCAGTCTGCCTCCGGCAAATTAAAAAATGAAGGGCCCAAATCCTTTGTTATCTGTCCTGATAAGCTATGCCAGGAACAAATTAGCGGTTTCCATCTAAACTGGCAGCACATCGAAGTCCGCACGACTGAATGGTTGACCTCTGTTTCGGCCTATATCTCAGCAGTGAAGACTCTTCACCTGGGGGCATGAATGGTATCTCCATTTCTTTCTCGTTGCCCCTCAACTTGGAAAGATAAACCAACAGTTTTATACATTTTTCTTACTCATACAACGACTCTCCTTGCGGCACAGATGGACCATAAATTCCTACGAGAATGCGAAGAACACTCGGAGCACTGCATAATCGACATATGTATATAGTTGTTGAATGATAAAGGCCGAAACCGTTTTCGCTGGATGGCATCCAGGACAATTGAAATGGTCATCAGAGTTAAAAGTGTTAAAGCCTTCGGATAGCGCCAGGTAACGTACCTCGCGGGGGGCCCCTCAATGTTTGTTGACGGTGTTTCTCTAAAGATTTTTTCCTGAAAGCTTACATTCCAAAGGAAGAGATGTCGTAGTCCCATAGCCCTTCGAAGGGGATAAAGGAGACGGGCGTGTGGCAGATATTACTCGAAATACCTCGAGGATCTACGACGAGAAATAGTGCAGCTGAGGATTGAGAGATTATCTCCACCGCTGTCGTTGCAGTTTTTCAACAACCGCATCTCAGTATGACGGTGCTTGATTTTCCCATGCATGCAGCAATCAACCCCCTCACCACCATCACCCGGCTTTGCTGCAACAGGTTACTTTTGGTATTGAAAATTCAATGAAGGCCTGTTTTAACATAAATCTACTGCCACCTAATTCAACCGTGGATATACCGTCCATGAAGCCCCTCAAGCCAATACAGCGGGCGAGAGACACGATATCTAATCCGATTCGAATTGGACCTGTGGTTAGATTGATTAGTTAAGCAGAAGAAAAAAGAACCAAACAATCTCTATGCCAATGTGAGCTTGGGTAAGTGAATAGCCGTTCTAGATGAAGCCTTGGTTACAGGCATATTAGTTGTCTTCGTGTCCCTATATCTGGGAAGCAACTGTTTGATTTGGAGATAGACAAGGATGGCAACGACCATTCCGGCAATATCGAAGGCGCATATCGATATCTGTTTGTCCCCCCTTCCCGACTTATCCCTTCCTTCCCATCTTCTTTCTTCATTTAATTTTTAAACCACTATGAGATACCAAAATCATTTGAAGTTGAGCAACTGGGTTGCTGTTCCCATATCCCAGCCACGTGACTGAAAATCCTCACATCAAAAAGGGGAAAGAATTTGTTACCAAAAGACACATCAAACAAATCGGACTCTCCCCGCGCACAAGTACGTTGTTTGAAGGAAGAAAGAAGGTGAAACGGAAATTTCCGGGAAGAATTCTTGACCTGGCTGCTGAAGACGGGTCGGTATTAACTTGTTATTCTCTGTTTTCTAAACGCCAGATTGACATTCATGTCGAGCAGTGGCAGACGAACACTACCCTTCCGCTCTGTGAATTTGAAGCAACGGAGGGGAATCCGGGGATACCTAACATCTTGAGGGACAGGACCAGCAAGACCCCTGTTCGGTGACGGGTCGCCACATGGACACATTTTTATCACTACCACCAAGCCGTTCTCAAGCACTTCCCGCATGTTGGCAGCTGACCTTCCGTAAAATTTACGTTCTCTATATCCACTCTCGGTTATTGAAGGCAGCCCTGGGTGTGGAAGAATATGATGGCGAACTCAAGGCATCGGTTACTTGCTGATTTCGTTGACAGGGTAGCCTGGGGAAAATCGGCAGCCTACGGGCTATTTAGAGCAGGGGTAGGTGGCAGGGGGATGAGGAGAAAACAAGGGTGCGAGCAGATGGGCAACATGCTGACCATGTTTATTGCAGCATCGAGCCTTTCTGAGGCTCTTGGAAGAGATGCGGAGAAAAGACCCCTGACAATTGGCTCTACAAATCCGCAAAGAAGATTCGCTAACCCCTGTCGCTTCTGTTCTCGTGAGTGACATGTATGCGCTTCTCCAGACGCAAAATTCCGACTTCCGCGATTCTCTATGAAGGCCAATGTAGCCCAAGTAGAGCAAACTAAGGGATCAATGCCAGTTGAGACCTATCTATTCTCACGACTGAAGATTTGAACCGTGGCGTAGCACGGAGCGACAATACCATTCTGAGCTTGAGAAGAATAGCCAAGGGACCACCTAAAAATGGCTTCTTATCCTGCACATATAGCTAACTAAAAAATAAACGAATGATTCCCGGAATTAGAAGATCCAAGGGTATCCAAAATCTAGAAATCATTAACCCCTTAGGCACTCCAAAGTTCCGGCGCCCGAACTCTCGCTCTGAACGCGTCCCTGAGCCCGAAGCCCAACGAAATTTGTACAAGTATATCAGCATTATTGAAGGTGAACCGCTAAGATTTTCTTGCCAGCGAAACCCACGGTGGACTAAGGATATCCTTTCGAATGGCCCCACATGTGTGTTTGCCAAAAATCAATAATTTCCCCCAAGACGATCAACTGAGAATGGCGAATTCTTCTTTCAACGGAGATCACAATGATTTTGAGGATGATATTAGAATGTTCTGGCGCCTGAATTGATAAAACCGCCAGCATGTCCATTTCTATCTTCAACCTGCGGAATCTACTCACGGTATGACATTAAAAACATGGATACCTCCAATGGCACTGTGAGCTAGTTTACATCTACAGTCCTCACATGATCAACTCGGCCTGTGGACGCGTACATATCCTGCTTTTCTTAAATCTGTATCCGAAGGCAGTGGTGATGTGCTTCAACGGCCCGCTCGCTCCCGTATGCCTCAACCAACCTTTCCAAGTCGACCAGATATTAACTGCCTACCGTGTTTAAGACTTGAAACGCAATCCTTCCGCATCGTTCCCCGCAAACGCTAGCACATCAGTTAAATAGAAAACCCCTCGATGTTCCTCGGCACTCGAGCCACTCAACAGGACCCTGCACCGATTCTGACACTTTCTTTCTATTATTATTGATTTGCCAGGAACAATTATATGACATGATTTAAAAAATAATCAACTCCTACCCAATAACAATTGCCTCAATCATTTGAGTCATTGAGGACATGAGCCATTACAACAGTTGTGAAAGCAAACTTTTACAACGACCCCTATGATCCAAACAGACCCTCACAACGTGGGGGACTAGCCCACCATTGAATCCCCAAGCGCATAGAAATTCCCCAGCTTCCAAGATCACATTAGCACGACTAACTATTTTTAGTTTACACTATGATGCCAATCGAAATCTCAATGACCTGAGACCTCAATAAATAATCTTTCCGTCGGGAAAGGGAGAGACACTCGAGGTTTTCCCGACAGGAATGGCAAAGAATTCTTCTGTGCATGGACAGAATCCACAACGAGCAAAGTTCCTGTTCCGGAGAGGCTCATACATTCTCCTTTTTCCTTTACGTAGGACATCCACTTACCAGATTAACTCTTAAATATCAAAAACATTTCCCCTGTCAGTTTTCCAGTTTGGGCTTGCCTGTACGGAGTATGTTCGTTCCTTTCTCTTTCTTCTTCTTCTTCTTCTTAGAACCTTAGTCCGTAATTGGTTGATGCGCGACATCCATTTATCTCCGCATAACCCTTGCATGCATCCCCTGGTGTTCATGAAGCAAATGGATCTCCATCCTGGCTGGCGGCCCTCCTCCTCCAGAGAAGGAGGGAAAAGAGTTCGAGCCTGAAAGTTCCCCGCCGCTAGTCCACCAAGCCACACACTACTTTTTATGTTCTCGAAGGATCGGAGCGGCGACCAGTCCCTTCCATTGAATTGAAACGGGTTGGAATTAAGAGAAAAAAGAAAAAGGCAAAACGGCAGTCAGCCAGGCGCGGGGTAAACTTTCACCTCCGTCCATTATCGTACGGAGTACAGCTCAACCATGGACCGGGTAGTTTTCCTATTCCTATTCCCATGTAGCCATGGGAGGAAAC